TTTTTGAAAGTGAAATAAAAGTGTTTAGGTAAAAAAAAATCGTATTCCATTACATTTAAGTCCGCTACCGGTATGGGAGGGGACTTTATAGGCTTAATACGTGTCTTTCCATCCATCTGTCTACCGTTCGTTCGACTGTTCTTCTGTCTTTCTGTCAGTTTGTTCCACTTGGTTTTCTAATTTTTTTTCTATACCTTTGCAAATATTAAGCAGAATTTTGGCATGTTTGAGTCTTTATGCATTTCCTTTGGCCTCATTGACCTTTTCGATTTCAATAGTCTGTTTCTTTTTTTCTAAACGCTTGCAGATATTAACTGTTTTTTAATATGTGCGATTATTTTGAGGACTTAAAGGTTAAGTTGCATTTCATTTCGCTTAATTCATTATTGACTAAATCATGGCATTTTCAACTTTTAACATTCCGGTAGGGGACTTGAAATGCTAAACAATATTCTCAAAATGTTTGTTGATACACTGCTAAAGCTGATATAATGATAGATTGCTATGTTCTATGTGACGGTCAATTCAAGGTGGTTGACATACATTATTACTTCACATTTGATTGCTTCGGTATTTCATTGATTGATTCATTGTTTTTATCGTCCCTCTCGAATTGTTCACGTCTATGGAGACGCCACCATTTGCCGTTAGAGAGCTATTCTTCTATGCTCGACACTTAGGATCATTGAGCAGTGAGAGAGGTTTTTTTCGTGCCAGCAACTACTGCGATGCGGGATATTGATTTACAAGGTCTCATCTAGCGGTAATTAATGAACTGGTCTCCACGTCACAGTCAGATTCGAATCCACCCATAAGGTCTCTATTAACTACTTTAAAGCATACGATCATATTACGCGGTCGACGCATTTTATTGTCAAAATTCATTATTAATAAAGGTTTTACTCCTTATCTTCTGAGTGCTACTAGTATTCCGCTAATACATCCATATTGAGTTTAAGTCTCTAATAATATGTATGAAAATAATCAAATTTCAATGAAAGGCAAAACAAATCAGGTACAGAGAACAGAAAACAAGAAAACATCTGTTGTAGGATCAGAAGTTAGGGAGGAGTAAGATTCCCCCGTCAATGGGTCACACCCGCCCTTTTATCATGTTATCACAATGAAAATCTGTAGGCAATTATATGTGAAGACGTTAGATAGCATTCGACCTAATGAATTTGTTTACAAATCGTTACAAATTGTTATCGAACATATACTTGCGCATTCAAGGAATTATTAATATTTAGTTCTACTTACTTTTTGGCATTTATTTTGTCATGTTTTTAAAAAGTCTTCTTCATTCCATTATAAAAATAAGTCTGCAAACATATAGGCTGAAGAGGGACCCTAGACATCCTGTCAGATTGTTGAATTGATCTCCAACACACCACAGTAAAATTTGTTTGATGGTAGTTTATTTTAAGTGACATAAGATTTTGAAAAAAAAAATCTTCCTTTGAGATGATCGAAGTTTTATACTACGCTGGATTAATATTTGGGAAATTTAAGCTATTAATATAAAAGATACCACAGAGTCCGACACTTCTGTTTCATACATGGATATTTTACTTGAAAAGACATTAATGGTAATCTAACAACCAAGCTATATGATAAACGTGATGACTTTACGTCCCTTACTTATGCAGCAAAATACTTAATCACCTGCATACGGGTTTTATATAGATCTCAGTTGATTCGATACACAAGAGCATGCTCTACGTATGAACTGTTTCTAAAACGAGGTAAATTATAGAAAAAAAGTTGATGAAAGAAGAATATCAGCGGTCTCCTTTTAAGTCGACATTTTGTAAGTTCTATGGTCGATACAATGATTATGTCAGCATGTTATGCTGACTTACGTCTTTCATACTAATTGTTAGTCTGTTTTACTTATTCACTGTATTGGCGACAGATTCTTTCGTTATTTCGCGATCATGACAAGGAACAGACGGCGGGTGTGACCGGTCGGCAGGGGATGCTCACTCCTTGACACCTGATCCCATGTTTTGGAGGTCCATGTTTGCTCTGCTTCTACTTTGTATTTTTATGGACTTTTTAGCTTGAATGCTGTTCGTTATTTCCATACATTTCATCAGACTGGACCAGCAAATATTGGTGCGGTCATCCTTTTAATTCTTTTTTCTCTTCTGGAGACAAAATTTTCTTTAGAATACACATGGGATATTTCTCAGCCCTTTCTATTTTCTACAAATTTATTAAGATGACATACTTGATTCTGATTGTACACACGAGTACTCTGAAATTGATATTAAAAAAAGAAGATTGAGTTTCTGATTGACAATATCTATATGTTTTTTAGAGACAGACTTTCCAACAATTTGATTTCCTATTGGTACCCATTGTGCCCCTGTTATTATCAGACCTATTTTTGTATTAATATGAAGCAGAATTATCCCATAATCTTATACGTGAAAAGAAGAAAATACTTGCTGTGGCTTTCAATTTCTACATTTAGATGTATCGACAATGTATTTTCAATTAACATAGGATTATTCCCAGGACCATACTTATGTCCATATATACATTATAATATATATATATATATATATATATATATATATATATATATATATATATATATATATATATATATATATATATATATATATATATATATTGATGAACCTGAGATAAAAGACAATACAGAATGTGACACATCTGTTTTATATTTTGCAAAAGCATATAAAACATGTGTTTATATCAAGAATATTCTTCACACAAAGGGTAAATGAATGCAAAATGACGTATTTTACATTGTGCAAGTCATATTATGACTTGAGAATCAGTAGCAATAACACATAAATTATCAGCAGAAAACTTTACATAATTTTTGCACCCATTTGTGTTTGGGTATGTCAGAATGTTCATTTGTTGATGTCATTGTCATCCCAAAACAAAGTAAACATTCATTCCTTATACATGTATATACATTTATATGGAAAGTAGAAGTCCACAAATGAAAACGTTTATTTTTTATTGAAATACAGGAGGAAATCCATGGTTATATCCTTAGCACCGCAAGTGACATCAACATATTGATACAAAAACAGTATTCAAGCTCAAATCAAAAGTCCATGAAACAATACAAAATAGGAATCGAGCAATCACAGACCCCCAAAACATCAGAGGTGAGATCAAGAGCCATGGAGGAGTGAGCATCCGTGGTCGACCTATCAAAAACTCCGTGTGCTCTGTATGTGCTGACATGGTCATTGTATCAACAATCTAGCTTACTTAAGTGATAACTTTAAACTAGACTGCAGATTTTCTTGTTTCACCAATTTGTTTTTCAATAATTTTCCTCGTTTTAAAAATTGTTCATACTTAGAGCATGCTCTTGCGTATCGAATCAACTGAGATATATATACTCCGTATGCAAGTGATTAAGGTATATATTGCTGCATAAGTAAGCTGACGAGCGAAAAGCAAGTCTTTATGTTTATTTCAAAGCTTGCTTGTTAGATTCCCATTAACGTCTTTTTCAAGCAAAATATCAAACTTTTATTAGATAAAAATTGAATTATATATGTGGAGATAACAAACAGTATTTGAGCTCAAAAGCCCCATTAAACATTACAAGAGCGGAGCGAAAATGGACATTCAAAACATTAGAAATACTTAAAGGAGTCAGCATTTTCTGCCGAGATCATTATATCATTGTAGAACATACGAAATGATGAGTTTAAACGGGGATGCTGAAACAACCATTGTTAAACAACGATACGTCGTTGATAATCTAAATGCCGAGTAGAAGTCCGCGCAAGTATTTTTTCTTTTAACGTTTATGATTTTGGTCAAATTCTGCTAATAATGGGTCGCAGTTGGTACTCATGTGAACTGATATACTGGATGGTCTTCAAAACCACAGATATTGTCAACCAGAAACCCAAGCATCTTTTAATATCAATTTCAGAGTACTTGTATGTGTAATTAGAATCTGAAACATCTGTGTCATATTTAGATATTTTTCTTGCAAAAGACATAAATGATTATCTAACAAAGAAGCTTAATGACAAACGAGATAATTTAAACCTTTAAATTGTCAGATTCCCTTATTTATGCAGCATAACCTGCGCATGGGGTTCATATCTTTCAGTTGATTTGAATCACAAAAAGCATGAACTACGTATAAACAATTTTTAAAACGAGGTACTTGTAAGTTATTCAAGAATTTTTTCTTAAACCAGAATATCAGCAGTCTCTTTTAAAGCCTTTATTTTGTAAGTCTTATGATGGATACAATGACATTGTTAGCGAATACAATTTACCAGTATCACTGAGTAAAACACTTAGTGACATTGCTCAAACTGATTGTTTGGGCATCATATTCACACTCAATTGTCAACGGATGTTTTCCGATATTTCCTGATTAGCACATGCACGACTGGTGTGACTGTTCAACAGGGGATGCTAACTCCTCCACGGCAACTGATACCGCCTCTGATGTTTCGGAGGTTCGTGTTTGCTCTGCTCCTGTTTTGTATTGGTTTTATAGATTTTTGAACCTGAATACTGTTCGGTATCTCCATATGTTTTTTCCCTTAAAATTGTCATTTTAGCTTACTTTGTTGTATTTATCAATAACTTTATGTTTATTAAATTACAAAAAGATCCAATTAATTGTCTATTATTTATTAAAATCTTTGAAAGTTCGAAGTTATTTAATATCGATATTGCATTTCTTATATATGTATCTTTTTGTGCAAATAAACAGCGTATGTGTATTGACAATAAATAATAACAATGCAAATATGTAAAAAATGATTAATCAAGAAAAATAACATTTTGATATTGATAAGCATCATATCGTGCATTTTGTAAATTTCATTACAGATAAGGAAAATATGAATACTTATATACATGTATAGATGAATGGAAGTATATAAATATTCTTAAGCTCATTAATACATTTATAAAGATATCATTTTAGCATATGTTTATGACCTATAAAATTTGAAACAACGTCCCCATTTTTTTTATTTTTTGATCACTTTCGATAATAAAACAATAGCATCATAAAATTTAGAGGTTAAAAATCCACAAAATTTAATTCCAAGTAATTTTAATGTAAGCTAAAAAAGGATCTTATAGAGAATAAACTCTTAAATGAATATTATGCAAATCTATTACCATCTTTTGCATGCAAATGTCAGATATGGATAACAATTGAGTGCCAATTGTATATACATATACTTCTTAATCCTTGAAAGATTGTCTGCATAATGCAACAGAAGTTATCACTGAAAGAACCTGAAAATTTTGAAAAATAAAACTATACATCAGAAGTGAAAGACAAATACAGTCATATTTTTAAAAGTCTACTATTTAATACTAAAGAAACATTTTGGAATTGGTATATCTATCCTATTGCGTAAAAACAGAATTTGCAAAATGACAACACAAAGGCTACTAATTCTGTAAAACAGTGAGACAAAATTTTATATCAGAGTGACATTACGTACACCGATAGAAATTATGTATAGGCTTTAAGCATAATATTAATATTCCTTTTTAAACTGTATTACCTCAACAAGAAAAATTATGATCCCAACTGCAAGAACAACAGGAGATTTAGATGTGATATTTTCCTTCAAAAATTCCCTTATCGCTTGGTAACATCCCTGTGAAAATATAAAAATGTATTTTGTAATCCTTTGCCGCAAAAAATGACAATGTTATAGAGGGAAAACAGCGGGATACAAACAGCTTATTCATATCAAAGGGGTGCTGCAAAATATATATCCCACCAAATTCATAGAGAAAAAAATTGTTTTGTTTAATTGCCTTGTTAACAATTCCTACTGTCTACAGAATTTAACTATTTCTTTTCTTTATACATGTAGTGTACAGTTCTTTGTGTTATATGTCCCAGGAGTCTTTGTGCGATTATTAACTGTTTTCTTGAGAAGTTACTCAAATTCCTGTGCAAATTATTTGAGTATAACCTGGTTTTGGTCACTGTACATTAAATAATTTGCGAGGTAGATTATAAAGTGTAAACTGATCCAAACCATGCAGGTTATATCGAATAATTTGGCCAAGAATTAGTCATTCTTTTATAATTAAATTTTAAAATCATTAAACAACTACAGGTGCAGAATGTCATTGCTTTTTATTACTTTAATTATGCCTCTCAATAAAACAACCATAGTAAAGGAAGTGATGGGAAGTGTTATTACTTGTTATTACTTTAATTATGCCTCTCAATAAAACAACCATAGTAAAGGAAGTGATGGGAAGTGTGGGGATCTAGAAAATGATATCTAAGCACAGCCGTCCTGTTGTTTGTTTACATGTGGTAGGATCGAGTTTCCGTTCGAAATGAAAGGTACATTTATTTAATGTGCAATGTTCCATAAATGGTGAGGACTGGAATAGATACAGATGATTCAGCTGGTTTTCAGAGGGGTGAGTACTCATACCAAACCAAGTTATGCAGAGTTTGTGTTCATTTTTGACATTAAACAATAAGTGGCTAGAATACAAACATTATTAAATTATATTTAAGTGTTTGAGTGAAGTACCTTTGTGATATATGATCCAGGATTCAAATTGAAGAAACACGTTGATGGCGCAGACGTATAGTTGGTTTTGGTTACTCCTTTACAACAAGTCTTGGGAATCTCAGCATTTGTCTGCTGACATTCCCCGCTGGTGGTACACCATGGAGTGTTGTCAAAATTGTTTGTGGTTGTGTTCACGGGGTTGACAGCGCAACAGTCCAACTGCAATCATTTAAGCAAGGGTGAGTACGTAAGCTGGCAAAGGAATAGGCAAAGGAAAAAACTACAATTTTGTTCTTTGTTTCAGTTTGAAATCAGTGACGTCGCTCGATTCATTCATTGTAATAGAATAACAAATCTATGTGCTTTTAAATATAACATACTCAGAAATTTTTGAATTTTTTCTAATTTTGATTTATAATAACTCGAGTTTTAGTTTGAAATAAAAATTCTTCTAATGAAACATATGAAGATAACGAACCGTAGTCAAGATCAAAAGTCCATTAAATAATACAAAAAAGGAGCAGAGGAAACACAGACCTCCAAAACATCGGAGGTGGGATCAGGTGCCATGGAGGACTATGTATCCCTGCCGACTAGTCATACCAGTCGTGTGCCCTTTGTCATAATCGGGAAATAACGGGAAAATCCGTCGTCAATTCAGTGTACTGTAAACCAATTATTATACGCGTCATTTTTTATTCGCGACTGACCGCTAGAGAACTAATCCGCGACGATTTATTTCCGCGAACAAGGGATCATATTTTTTTTTATTTCCACAAGTATTTTTTGTATCAAATTAAAATTTTATATCCGCCCATAAACTACGTAAAATGCTACCGTGATTACTGCTTACGCATTATCATTCAAGACATTCTGTGTGCATTGCGTCCATTTAAAATCTTATATCCGCACCTGAAGTAGGTAAAATGTTACTATGAGTACACTTCTTACGCATTATTCACGACGCTCGAATGAAAATCGGGGTAAAAAAAAAAATCGAGGAGATTAAATTAAGTTTATTTCAAACTCTCAAGTGTAAAAGTTCGTCATGCTAATTGGATAATTGACACTTTACAAGATCTACATAGCCATAGGGCAATTATTATAAATGGTTGGGCTGGCGCAGGACTGGGCTATAATTAGTCGTAATTAACCAGGCTATCTCTAACTCGTCTGTGACAATAATGAACAATGATAACACAAGCTGAAAAAATTATTGACATTTGAATCATTTTTAGACAAATAGTTTTAGATTTGCCATTCGTTTATATATTTTTTCTGAATGTTTGCAATTAAATTTCAACTGCTTTTAGAACACAAAAGATTACTTATTGAACCGTCGGGATCGGTATTCAAAAAAGGGCAAATAACTCTAATCGTAACATGGGAAAATGAACAACTGGTTCGCGACGATAAATATCCGCGAGCAGAGGTTACTCGCGGAACTCGCGGATATTTATCGCACGCGTATAATACTTGGTTTACAGTATAAATTATGGTCTAACAATTAGTATGAAAACGTCAGTTAGAATTTGACTCAATAGTAAATTGTATTTGTTAATAAGGTCATTATACAAAAAATACAAAATAGAAATTCATACATTGCGAAAAATACTGAAAACTGATTAACAATAAAAAATAAACAGAAATTAAGTTATCCAAACATGCAGCCATTGAAGGATATTTATGCTTTTCCTAAACTTCCCATTGAAGAATATTTATCCTTTTCCCTTCGTTACTGTTCGTTATCTCTATATCCTTCTTTCACCAAATAAGACAGAAACACACTGATTATGATCAAATAAGTGCATTTTAGATATAGCGTTTATGTGATATCAAAACCACGAAATATTAGAAAATATATAAGACATACTTACCGACACAAACATCATATTCCATCCATTTGAGATGTCATTTCCATTACTTATTGAATCATTCACAAAGTTCTTAGATTTTAACTAATCGAGCTTTGAAATCTGACTCAATCTGTTAAAATAAGCATACATGTAGATAATCATTCAAAGTATGCGTATATTATGGAATATACTGTTGAAAGCAATAACCATCATTTTTTTTAGAGGAAAAATACAGTAATGTTTAGTAAAGTTACTCAAAGGGTAAGACCAAAAGTTCCGTGGTTAACAAAACACTAACTGAAATAATATTCTTTAAGACAAAAATTTTCAAAACCCGCCCCCTCAAATCCATACATGATGAATGATGGAGTTTACAATAGGATGCCTTACATCGTAAATAACTTTCATTGTCTTTGTTCATTAAAAGAAACATTAACTTTTTACAAACCGATTACATTAAGACTCGGATACAATAATTTTTATTATCATTGTTAGACCTCAACATAAAGGTTTTTTGCTCCTTCACTTTTACTCTTTGAAATTATATGTAGTTTGTATTTTCAGGTCTTAATCGTTCATTTCCACCATTGTTACAGATTTTAGAGAAAATTTGTTGTACAGCAAGTTTGATATTTTACTAAGCAAAAGAATTCGATGATTATAAAAGATTGCAGACATGCTACTCTTGAAAAGACAAAACGATTACTCTAAAAGATAGACGATATTAAAGTAGAATTTGATATGACAACAATGGAACAAGCTACGATAAAGAGTAGTATGCAATGTTTTTATTTACTTTTTCTTTCCAAGGCTTGTGGAATAGAGAAGATAAGATATACATAACAGATACAAATATTATGTAGACTTATTTTTCTTTATACAAATAAATTATGTGAATATAACTACAGGACTAAGTAAACATAGACTTACTTCATCCTTCAAAATAAGCCACAGGACAATTCCGACTATTGTTATCACAGATAACACCAAAACTAAAACTACATACTGTAATGTAAAAAAAATATTATTTGCTTTTACTATTCAAATTCAAAATTTATAGTGATATAAAATTAATTCAAGCTTTAATATAATCAACAAAAATATATAATGGAATTTTACTCCAACTGCATGATTATGTAATGCATTAGAAAAGTTAAATTTTATAGCGCCAAATATTTCAAGTGCTCCGGTAATTGAGGACTAATGACCCTCTACTCTAAATATATAAAAGTTTCTTTACACTGACAAACATTGATTTTAATCAAAGGCTACAACATTAGTATCAAATGATAGATTGGTTATAGACATAAATAGGGAGGTGTAAAGTGCTGCTTATTTTTGTATATTTTTTTTAGATCAAAATATGAAACAATGAAAGAATAGGAAGAACAGTTTTTATAATAGCATTAAATTAGAAAAAAGGTGTATATAACATTAATATTTAATATCATACCTATAAAATTAAAAAAAAATAAATGTAACGTTTCTTTTTTAGTCAGAATACAACAATGCTATATTTTTGGGTGAGGAAAGAATACATCAGCTTTCAAGAGTTATCTATCTTTGTTATTATTATAAATATTTTTTTCATAATAAAAAATATTATACATGTACTATTACAATTCTACATTTGATACTAAAAAGTTAGACCATTTTCAAAATTGTCCTGAAAAGGTAGAGCTTGTTCAATTTTTTAGGTATTTAATCTAAACGTTTGTTTTTATAATAAAACTATTTAAATATATAGGCATTGGACATAGAAGGCAATGATTTTTTTCAAATGTTAGAATTAATGAAATCTTCTGAGATGTCTCAATGATTAAACTATAGTAAAGTAAATTATGAGTACTGTTAGTATATATCTTATTATCAGAGAGTCGGTCTTCCTTAAGTTATACCTCACCACACATGAATATTAAATTCAACTGCATAACGCATCAAAAGTAAAAATTGCAGAATATACTTTAAAATAAAAACAGTGCTTGTTTTTATATACAAAATCCTTATTTTTTCGATAAATAGAAACAAGAGACCCATGGGTCACATCGCTCACCTGAGTAGCTTTGACAACGCTGTTTTTTTTACTTCAATGTAAAAGTTTGGCTCCCTATTTTGGATCTGTCATACCTCCAGGGGTCATGATTTGAACACAATAGAATTTACACTACCCACAAATTCTTCCGCATAAGTTTCAGCTTTTCTGGTAAAGTGGTTCTTGAGAAGATTTTTTAAAAAAAATTCCTATATATTCCTTTGTAAAACTTGGATTCCCCATTGTGACCCCGCCCTTACCACGGGGGCGATGATTTGAACAATTTAGAATCTACACTACCCCGGGATGCCTCCATATAAGCTTCAGCTTTTCTGGCCCAGTGGATCTCCAGAAGAAGATTTTTTAATGACAACCCTATTTTTGTATTTTCTTTATTATTTCCCCTTGTCAGGGGACTTTTACAATTTAAACCCCTCTTTAACCATGGATGTTTGTGCCATGGTTGGTTAAAATTGACCCAGTGGTTCTTGAGAAGAAGTCAAAAATGTGAAAAGTTTATAGACGGACAGACGGATGGACGGACGTCGGACCAAATGTGATCAGAAAAGCTCGCTTTCGCCTTCGGCTCAGGTGAGCTAAATATTAGCAAGAGATATAAGAGGTACAGAAAACTTTGAAAAGACAATTAAACAGTTACTGTAACTATTTTATGCTTTGATTCAAATAGCATTGTGAAAAATTTCGTACTAGCTGCAGTTTTTCTTTGAATCGTTGGAATTAAGAAGTTATTTATTAATTAAAACAATGTCAGAATACTGCTAGATTGGTTGATGCCACATAGGTAAATGAGTAATCACGATCTACTAAAATAATCTAATGACTAAACTCTTGATGAAAAATCATGAAATTCATCTTTTTAAAAGAAATATTCTTTTTCTCCTTACTTAATATGTGCATATAGCACAAGCAGTTGTTTAGTACATGTATATGCTTTGCTGGGATTTAAACTTTCTTTTAAAAGTCCAGAAAGATTTTTTTTGCCGATCCTGACAGGAAACACATGGCGGGTATGGCCAGTCGGCATGGGATGGTCCCTCCTCCATGGCACCCAATACTACCTCTTGTACTTTGTAGTCCCTTGTTTGCTTCGCTCATATTTTGTATCGTTTACTTATACGAGGGTTGTTCGAAAATTTCGTGGACTCGTGTCATATCTTTTTTATTTAACGTCATATGAAAACTCAATTTGGTAGAAATATTTTCACAAGAAATCCAAATGATTTGTATAAAAAAATTCATGTATCATGATTAATTTCAAACCCATGCAGAATTTTAAACTGCAAAAAATCGGATAGCGGAGCATGTGAAAAATGTAGTTATTTACAGACAACACAGGAAATAAATATTGTAATGTCTGTAGTCATATTCTCCGTAAAAAGGAGCAAAAACAGATAAAATCCTAGACTTAAAAATTAAGAACTGTTACATTGATCTTTATTCAAAATTATGGCTTAATATTTCGTTGAAAAGAAATCAATTTGGAAAAATATGTAGTCCTCATTGAAAGCGACAAAAATGATGACGTTGTTGAACTTTACAGAGCAGCAGATAACAATGCAATTTTGTGTTATACTCGGGGAAAATCCTAAATAAACCCATAAAATGTTAAAGGAATAAAAATATGTCACAATTAAGTCGTACATATGTTTATAAATTGGTACAGGCAATTTACATGTTGACTGAGTGACAAAGACCCAGTATGGGACGAGGACAATCCGTGAAGAAACGGCTTATCTGATGAAAAACTTTAAGAATTTTGGACGCCATAGAAACACATAGCGCTTCATAGTTGCTGATCTTGTAAAAGCACAGCTAAGTTGTAAAAGAAATTAATACATTGGCAAAGGAAATTATACAACGAGATCAATTATTAGAAAAATGAATTTCAAGTGCTAGAAAAAGGTTTTTAATAAGTGATTATTGAACTTAACTGTGAAAATGTATAGGGATAGTACTTTTAAGAAATTCTTGACGCTGTGTTTTTGACGTTACATCGCCGTTAAGTATGGTTCCGCGGGTACAAAACATGTTGATTTTAAATTGAAGTAACTTGATTTCTGTTAAGTCGAATGAAATGAAACTTCATACATCAACAAAGCAAATAATTTTACACAGGATATTGAGCTTATTTTAAATTTCTTGAAAGTAGTACAATGAAGATTGACATCGTCCACGAACTTTTCGAACAACCCTCGTATTTCATACTTTTTTTAAAGCCAGAAATATCATAAACTGACGTAGCTGCCTCAAATGAGTGAAATTTTCGAATCTATGATAAACACCCGATATATATTAATAGATTCAAATTAGCACTTGTTAGATATTTACAATTACGTTTATCAATGGTTTTGTTAGTACTCACAATTGTCAGCAGTGCTTTATTTTGGTTGCAAGCCCCTAATAAGCCTACGAGAGATGCCACTAAAAATAGCACCCCAATGGCTATAAACAAAATCCACAAATGGTCTGCAAGGTTTCCAAAGTCAAAGTCTTTTACTTCAACACTGTTAAGGACTGCTTTTGTTATTGCAGCCCGGAGGACCGGGCTGCTCTATACATATAAGTTTAAGTGTTGGTATATGGGGATTGGGGTGGGAGCAGTTATTCAAAATTAATAAACATGGAAAAGATTGTTAATCAGAATGTTCTTTCCCTTTATTAATTACAAGATACATAATATATTTACTTCCAGAAAGTGAATCTGTAAAAATATATATGTTTTTCATATTTAATATATAAAATTGTTTATTATTTACCGAAAAAAAAGTCAAATCTTTCGCATAAAAACGTACTCTGAACGACATGTTTTATATTCATACGTTTTTGAATATAGGTGATGCATGTGTCTAACTTCAATTTATATTTTATGCAGCCAACATTTACTCCAGGAATTGTAGTTTAAATTGGTATCGTTTTTGTTTGACATTTATCCGACTATAAGTTTTCCAAATATTCGCGACTAATCAATTGACGCATGCCTTGTCACACATATCGAAGCGATTTAATGATTAAGACTCATGTCCATAGTTTACCTTATATATTTCCCGGGCGACAATTGATGGTTACATCAATGTTTTCTTGTATCTTTAATTGACAACACATCAAACTTCATCAAGGTACCAATTATTAATAATCCGAGTTCAAGCAACTGAAAAATTATTTGATTTGATCATTTGTTCATCTAAATATTAAAACTTTACAATTAAATTTTCTCTCTACTTCTGTTAAAAATAATATTTTATAATTTAATTGGGCAGCTAAATTAAATCAAAGCAAGTGTTAGATGTTAAAGAAAAAAGACAAATGGATCTAAACTATGAAATCTTTGAAAGAAAAGTTATATTTAAGAAACGTGTATATCATTTTTCAAACTAGTCTTTAAAATTTGCATTTTAAAAAAATATGGAAAAAAGTTAAATATATGTATCATCTCTATTTTTACTTACAAGAAATCCAATGTTAATGCAATTTAGACAAATCTTCACAAGACTATATTTACATCCAATACCCATGTCTATAGTCTGTTTACAAAAATAAAAAGATTCATTATTAATAAGAATGTTTGGTATTAAAACACATACTGTTATTTCTAAACATCCTCCGTAATATTTACTCCAACTTTCATTTTTTCGTTTTTTATAAATAAATCATATTTCAGAAATATTTTCCACTTAATCTGTTTCTATTAGATATTGTCAGATTCTCGAATAAATCTGGATTAATTCAGACATATAAAAGATTGTTCTTCAAGTTATACTTTCTACTCCCCATATCCCCGTCTAAAGGGGAGGGGGGTGTTTATATGAAAAGTTTTCATGGAAGAGATAAAATGTAGATCCTAAGAAAATCAAATTTAAATTAAACAAAGATCAATCAAGCTCAAAATACAATCGAAGAATACAAACTGAGTGCAGGAATAACATGGACCTTCGTAAAGAAGAAAAATGATGTTCTCTATCCTGGACATACCTTTATCTATATCAAGTAATTCATAGAAATTCATTTTGTAAATAACAGCAAAATAAGTTGTGTTAACTTATTTGTTCTTCATTCACTCTTCAAAAACTATGTTTTTATTTTTTATTTAATTGTTTATTTAAAGGCAGAGATTTTCTACAGGATGGTAAATTCAAGGGAAGAAATGGACCTATTTTGTGCAGGTGTGAATGCATTTTGAGCTAGCAGTCTACCCGTGGTTATTTTCTCTTATTTTCTATACACAGGAATTTATTTATTCGAATTAGAAGTAAAAGTTGCAATTAAATGTAAAACTGTGTTAACTACATTTCATTAAAAAAAATCTAGGTTTATCCTAATCTTTATCGGGCTTTGTCACCATAAAACATGCTGAAAAGATTGCTGCATTGTAAATTCTTATCTGAATAACAGGAATGACAAAGGAAAATATTTATTCCTTGTTCACATGGAGAGTTTAATTCGAATTAAACTTAAGTTACTGCGAATTAGCTTCGCTTAACGTTCACACGAAGAATTTAATGCAAATTAGTTTAATTCGAATTAATTTGCTGCGCATTAAATTACTTTGCATTAGCTCCGTGTGAACGCTAAGCAAGGCTAATTCATTAATTTTTTGGGCATGCGTAATGGCAATATTAAGTCAAATGTCACATGTCGGTAGTCTGCCATAAGTACTTGTGCTTTTTTTTAGTGAAAAACTAAGGAAAATTATGTTAATCACTGTAGAATTAAAAAAAAAATGAATTTGCATTAGCTGTCGTGTGAACACAATTTAATTGACATTAGTTTTATTTGCATTAGTTTACTTCGCATTAACTTACTGCGAATTAAACTCTCTGTGTGAACAGGGCATTACATTTGCAAATGTTTTCCTTTATATAACACTACTGAAAGCAATGCATATCTTTAACTGTATAAATACTGGTACGGGGTCAAGAGGTCATAGACGGGCGTATGGAAAAACGTTCGACGTAATTTCTCAGTGACGTCATAAAGGATGGACGCGCGTTCAGTGGATAACATACATGCCTTTGGGTTTGAAAAATAATACATTTCAAGTTAAAAGTCACAACAGGCAAATATAAAGTATGAATAAGTCACAAATATAAATATAAGTAATAAAGTATCATTGTAAAACATATATCGGGCTATAAATACGGGTTGGTACGAGATTGAAATTTAATCTCTTGATCAGCCCGTATTTACGAGGGGTTATCAAAAAGTTCGTGGACTAGCGTCATAAAATTAAAACCGCTTTAGGCACATCAATGAATTTTAAAATATCTAGTTAACATCATCTTCTCTATCTATAGAATAAACCACAAATCGTAAATTTTATTTTTTAATTAACTAGTGCCGTTTTTGTAAGCAATAGTATGTCCAGGCGGCGCAACCTCGAACACGACGTTTTTGCGACCGTAATGTAACTGAGAAAAACTCTTCTGATATGATCATTTGACATCCAAAAATCCCGTTAATTTAGGTATGTGTTTGGACACAATTGTTTCATAAAATATGAAATTTTCACTTCATTCTGGAAGTTCTATAAATTTTTACCGTTAATTTTACATGGAAAGACCAAACAAATGAGGCCTTGAAAATGACGTCAAAAGGGGGGAGGGGTTTCCGTTTCCAACATTCTATAAAGTTTTGCCCCTAAAAAACTGGTATAGACCTAAAATCTATTGAAACTGGCTACAGAGAAAAAATATGCATCCCGAGTACTTGTATTTTTATGCCAAAAAAGATTCAGAGAGAAAAAGGATACTAAGTTAATGTCCACTTGCAGTCAAGTTGTGAAAAATCAATCACGTCAATAAATGACGTTGATCATGTGTTGTAGATATTGAACTTCCCAAAGCAAAATATGCTTGCACAATCAAGCGAGGATCTCTCCCAATGTATTAATCCATTTGGAATATTATATTCATTGAATGCCACAGTTCATGACATTGTAAAGTCATATAAACAAGGCGGGTTTCAGTCCGTACTCATGCAGCTCCAGGAATTCTCATCAAAAAGGTGTATGATGTAGAAGAAGCGGACATTGAAAACAATGACGTTGTAGGACGTCACGAGAATAAACGACGACAGCGCCGGGTGATCATATAATGTCGTTTTCATTTTATAATAATTTGGCAAATAATGAACGTATCAGGCTAAAATTTTCAACAATTCTTTATTTTTTGTTGTTTTATTTTCCATATAAATTTTGAAAGCACAGACTACATAGTTCTATTTTTATAGCCTCAGTCCACGAACTTTTTGATAACCCCTCGTATATCCCGATAGATGTTAAAAAATGATACCTTATTTCTTAAATATACATGACCCATGATTAGAAACATTTATAAATATTTTGAAATTTCATTACTTCATACAGTTCTGCTTTAAACTTAATAAATAACATTTTCACTTTTGGTTTACTGTTAAGCATATCAAATTTGATATCAAAATTTCATTCAAAAAAGTTTTATGTACCAAATTTTTATTTTTTTAAAATTTATATTATATTATAATCGCTTCAAACACTAAATTAAATATTTATGTTAAAATATATATGTATATTTGATTCATATTTAATCAAGCTAATAATTTCATGGTAATACAGCTTCTCTATACAATGTTCGGTAAACATCAAAGAACAAAAGTTAATTTAAAGGTCCCCATGAGTGCTAAACAAAGTTTACATGGTATACACAGGAATCAGTAAACACATATCAATCAAGTTTCAGCATCCAATGATGGGCCTTCATGCACTTGATTGACAGGACTAGCAAGACCAGGTATTTTAAGACGATGCTTAAATTCTCTGCGTTTACTGTGGAATCATCATTGTTCGTTGGGGACCAATGTTCGTGGCTTTCGTGGGTAACACTGACCCACGAATTTACATCCCCACGAACGTAAATATAAACATTTTGTTTCTATTATTTGTTAAAAGTAAAGATTACACATACTTTTTCATCGTAAAATGACCGTTACCTTTGTGTCCGTGTGATCGCGCATAAAGAAGACAATCTGAACGTGGTTGTTAACACAAATTTGAAAACCAAAATCAGAAAAAAAAATACTGAGTATCAAAGACATCGATAACTATATATGATAATCAATAAAATGATTACAACTGTTAATTTTAAGTAGTGTTTACATTATAGTCCAATACGCTCAAATGACCCTTTGATGAGGTCAATTTTCAGAGCGATTTTGGAGTGGGTGCTAATTAGTCAATTATCATGAATTGCTTTTAGGGTAGACGTTTTCAAGTCAATTTTGGCATTGTCCTCGTCGTTCTCATCTAGAGATTTACAATACTGTTCCGCGTACCACTGGTGAAAACACGATTTAAGTTGTTCTATATAATCGTAATTTACTGCGACATCACGACTGTAATATTGTTGGTGCAAGCCGCCGGTACATTTTTGTGTTCAAAAGAGAGATAACTTAGATAAGCAACAGTGACTGAGGTATCCTTTTTTATTTTAACTTTGGAAATACAAAGAAACGAAATAGAACTTGTTACCAACGAAATTACGTCCCCAC